GTTTACCCTGCGTCCCGCTGCCACGAGTGTGGGGAAAAAAAAATAAACGCCTCCATCGACTCGCCCGTGCGCCTCGCGTGCATCAACAAGCCCAGCGCTCCGTGAATTTCGCTCGAGCGCGATCATCGCGCGCCGCGCTGGCGTTGGCGGTCCGAAAGTTTGTCGAGGATGCGCCCGTGAGACCGCGGGGCGAGTTGCGAGAGAATCTGCCCCGCGAAATATTTCAACCGTGTGTTTTTTTTTTTCTTTTTTTTTTCTCGTTTTTTTCCGTTTTTTCTTGTTTTTTTTTCGTCTTTTTGTTTTTTTGCCTCTCTCTCCTCGCACACGCGCGCGATCTTTATTTCTGGCGAATACCGCCGCCTATGCGTCTGGGAGAGACAGCCGCGCGCGGGCGCAAAGTTAGCTCCCTCGAAAGCCGCCGCGGTCCCCCAGCCCGAGAGTCGCGCTGCTTTATTTCGCAGGCCGATCGCTAAACAAAGGCCTCGAGCGCGCCGCGTAAATCAACGATGCCTCTTCTTTTTTTCACCCGCTCTTTCCGTTCCACTGCCCGCGACTCGCATCCTTCTGCGAACGGACTCCGCGCGTATGGGTTTTTAACGAGCCCCGTCGCGTTCGACGAGGGCGCCGAAAATTGAGCGGCCCGCGAGACGAGAGAGCCGACTCGATCGTCTCCCCCCTTTCCACGTTAATGATGATTTAGGGATCTTCCTGAATTTTAATCGGACTCGTCGCTCACCCGTGAAACTGATATTAATGGGCCAATCTATCACGCTATTATGAATGATCGTGCTAATTGATGGCTCGGCCCCTGGATCCGCCTGACTTTACATTCTTTTCAATACTTTTACCATTCTACGAACAGTTTCACGATTCGATGAATGCGAACGCAGTTTTTGAAACATCCAACCGACGAACACTGAACCCATTGAAATTACATGCGGCGGCTTCGATAGCATTCAACTGCTCTTTTAGACGTTTATTAATTGCTTTTTAAAGTGACTACTGTTGTTCCCAAAAGCAATTTGTCAAGTCGTTTCGACTGTTATCCCGCCAACGGACTTGCTTCCCGGACTACGGGATGGATAAGCGTACCGTTGTCAATTTTGCGAAACTCAATTTTCGGAAGGTTCGAGCGCTGTCGCGACGAGATCGACGCGAAATCTCCGAAGAGAGAAAGAGACGTCTGAGAGCGCGCTGAGGCTAATAGTGGACGGAAAGCCTGCATCGATAAAGCGGCAGCTCGAAGAGACGGAAGCGAGCGAAGTTGGCCGGAACTGGCTTGCGGCCGTGGGCCACGGAACGATTTTTGAAAAACGCTCGACTATGCGCGCGAACCGTGCGTGTTTACACTCCGCAGCTCGGAGCGCGTGTACTTTGGGAGAAGTGGCGAGAACTTGGCTTGTCGAGGCTCAAGTTTCGCGCTTGAATTTTTCAGCGCCACGCTCGAGAATTTCGGGCAAAGGGCCATATTCAAATTTATCGTCGTTTGAAGATTTTGCAGAGCGCGCGCCCTCGCGAGATAGAGAGGGAGAGAGAGAGAGAGTGCTAAACTCGAATCCGGAGGACACCGGGCTCGCACCGGGGAAGAATGCACTTTTCATAATACATTAACGTCCGGAGGAGAGAGAGAGGGGGGTGCCCTGAAAAGTGCGCGGCGAAGGAGAGAGGCAGGAGGGAGGAGGCTGTACCTCGGCGGGCTCTCTTTCCCCCAACGACGACGACGACGACGACGACGACGACGACGACGACGACAAAGTAAGCTGCGAGAAAGTTTGCTCGACATCGCGCATACGCCTCTCGCTCCCTCGCTACGCTGTTTTTCGCGTATACGACTCCGGCAAGCTAACGTCCTTCTCAAAAGTTTATCTTTTCTCCGTTGGCCAATGGCTGAAGGTGTACTGCCTCGTAGCGGTTTTGTGCGCTCTTTCAGTGGCTCTTCTTCTACCCCCGCAGCGCCCAGCCTCGTCCGCTCTCGGGATTAAAAATACATGTTTGATGAAGTTTCGTCCTAGCACGCACGTCGCCGTTCTTCTCGTGCGCAAGCAAACGCGCGCAATTTGAATCTTAATGCGTTCATCAACGGAACTGGTAGCCGCGACACGCGGGGTGCGCTTAGCTCTCCAAACAAAAGCCATGACCATTGACCGGCCGAAGCAGCCGTCAGATTTTATTCGAGCGCGTTGACAATGTGTGGGCGATTCGCGGAATCTAGTGGCGCTTGGGACGATGCTTACGGGGCGGATCGTCGGCGCCTCGCGCCCCCGCTGCGGAAGCCTGGCTCTGCCAGCGCGCGTGATACTCCTCGCAGAGCTTTTTCAGGGCCAGCTCGATCTCCGCCAGCTCGACGCGCTGCTTGCCCGCCTCGCGTGCCATCCGGTTCGCGTCCATCAGCGTCTTCTCGATTATGTCCTCGAGGATCCACATGAGCGTCGACTGCGCTCGCGCCGACAGTACGAGACGCTGCGCTGTAACGTTTCGTCGTGTTGCAAATGAATCAAACTCTTCGCGGGGAAGCGCAGCTGCGACGCGCCGCGGTGGAGAAAAAGAAAAATTATAAGTGCAAATGCCCGAAGATGGAAGCGACGCGACGGTAAGTAGGGAAAAAAAAGTTAAAAGGATTCCCATTCTGCTGTCGCGTAGCCTCGTGCGCTCGTGACGACTGTCGTTCTAACCTTGCAATTTGCGGTGGCGGCTCACTCCCAAAGGCCGGGGAGACACTCCGATCCTCGGGGAGCGAGAGAAAGAGAAAAATCTGCCGCCGCCGCCCGGCCAAAATGAATTTGTCGCGTGATTCGCCCGGATTTTCGGAATTTCGCAGGTACGTACCTCTTCGCGCGCCAGTGTCTCCCCCTGCTCCCCCGTGGCTTTTTTGCGAGGACTGCTGACTCGAATCGTGCTTCCGCGGCATCGTCCTGCCGGTGCGCCGCTATTGCTGTGACTTTAACGATTTAGACGGCTTTTCTACGGGTTGACGATAAGTTATTAGCGTCTGCGCAACATGTTTTCATTTCTTGTTTCGTCGTTGTTCGCCGATGGATTTAGTTGACTTAACCTAGCCGAATGAGTGGGCTTTGGTAACCGCCTGTCTCGCTGACAACAATCGACTTGTTGTGATATTCAAGCGCGTGCGATTTAAAAAATCACCGATACAATCTTCGCTCGAGATTTACTATTTCGCCCATTGTGCCATATCGACGTGTTATCGTCGTACGTTTTGGCAATGTCTGCGTGAAGTAAGCGCGAACCGAATGGTTCAAATCAGCGAATGTCGATTCACGAACGGGAAGTCAAAAAGAAACTATTGATAGTCGCATAATCGAACTCGTATAATCCAGGTTCATGAATTTTTTTCTTTTTTATTTGTTTAACGTTGGCCGCGATCGTAAAGTTTAAGGGCCTCGAGCCGTAATTTCCAGGTGCGAGCGGCATCTTTTCGTCGTCGACACCGGGGACATCCGATATTGTAATAAAGAAGAGACGCGCGCAGCGAGCGTCAACGGGCGCGGGCGCGAAGGAGCTGTAATTCCCGAAGCCCTGGTAATGAAAAGCGAGCGGGAGGAGGCCGAGAGGAGGAAATCTCGCCTTTGCGCTTGCGGCGTATCCTCGGCGCGCGCTCGTAATCGCGTTTCGCCGAGGCGCGCCCTTGCGCTCCGAGCAAAGCCGCCAAGATTGCACCAAGACGGGAGAAAGCTCTATGAAAGAATTTTCAAAGGATGTCCCCCCATCCCCTCCCCCGTCTTGCGCACGCGCGCTCTCTCTCTCTCTCTCTTTTCTCCGCACGGCAGTATTTTTCTTGGGATTTTCCCCTGGATTTATTCTTTAGATTTGAGAGTAATCATGATGTAGAGGCGAGAAAGTGATTCCATGTAACGACCGTGCTTCGCGCGAGGGCGCGACCCTCGGAGGAAAGAAAAAAATATTTAGCTCTCGCGGGCTCTTTGCAGCTACGACTCTCACTGCCGAGAGACGCCGAGACACGGCGAAATGGCGAGCTCGCATAAGGAAATTGACGAGGCTGCGATGAAAGGTCCGCGAAAGACTCGAAAGAATTCAGCGAGATCCATCGCAGAATGTCCTCTTGTTCTGCTCTACGGCCGTTTCGGGGGTTGGGTTCGTCCCCGACGCTTTCGTAATATCCTCGGTCCGCGCGATAACTCGAGCTTTCGAGCGAATTTCGAGCAGCTGCGTCGGAAAGTAGGCGACCAATCGAACGAGCTTCCAGAATGTGGTTGACGCGCGACGGCGTTGGGCACGCGGCCGAGACACGAAGGGAAAAAACCGCATACGCCAATCTGGTTGAACGAAGCGAAGTCTGTAACGGAGAGCTCGCAAAGAAACAGATGTGCACGTCCGGGCTACGCGGGCACGGAAAAAGTTTGTTGGCAGCACTCGGCCAAAAGTGCATCAGCCGATTACTACACGCGTACACAAAACGCGCACGAGCAATATTAAGCTCGCCCTTGTATTGCAAGTTTCATTTCGCTCGCGAGTGACGCGCAGAATGAATCTCTCTGATCAATATTACACGTGACATTATTTTGCGCACTTGCTTCCAAAGCGCTGGCGCGCGTCGCTAATTCGCTTGAGCCATCGCGAGCCTTGCTTTTGCATGAGGCATTCATCGAGGCGACTACGCGCGATGCTCAATCGAACGCTCGTTTTCCCGATAAAAGTTGCCGCTACGATCGTTTACTTTCCCGCTGGCGGGTGGTTGCCGGTGCTCCTCGCTCGGGGGGCTAATGTTTACCCGATACGATACTCTTCCCGCCAACAAACGAGCGAACGATGTGCTCTGCGAGGTGGCTCTTCTCTTTTTTCCCCCTCTGTGCTTGTTTTCACCATCCATTGCGCGTATCGAGAGCTAATGAATCGAACGATCATGGGATCGAAAAGCAATGTACTTGAAAAAGTACACTCGGCACGCGTTCGCGCACTTTGTCAATCCAGTGCGGAAGGTAGCGCGAAAGAGAAGGCAGTAACGACAGTTGGTGTGTCATCAGTGCTGGACTGCGTGGTGTCGGGCTGGGGACCATGGACGGGCTGCGACAGCGAGTGCGGCCCGGGCGCTCAGTCGAGGACACGGCTGGTGGAGCGGGCGCCCGAGAACGGCGGCAAGCACTGCCCGCAGCTGGTGCAGCAGCGCGGCTGCCAGGGCACCAAGTGTCACAGGCGTAATCCCAAGTCGGCCATCAAAGGTACGTGCGCCTGTCTCCTGCACGTAATACGGCCGCGCAGCTGACGGCAGTCGGCGGCTAAAGCGGCCTATCGATATAGTTTTCCCACTGATCCGCGATCAGGCGTAGCTCCAGACACTGCGCCGAGTCTCGTTGCGCGGAGCACTTATCGCTAATGACGAGCTCACCTCGCTCTTCTCCGCGGCTATATCATGCACATCGGCCTTTAGCCAGATTACCTGTCCGTCCCAGGCTTGTCGCTGGGCTCGTCGCGGCGCGACATCGAGACTTGCCCCCCCCCCCCCCCCCCACCTAATTAGCCACGGCTCCCGCGGTCGCTTTCCCATTGTTGTGACCCGGGTGAACGATTTGTTTTCAGAGGTCGCGCTGCTGCTGCCCGCCGAGCTGGGAGACGTTCGACATGCCAACGACAGCAGCGACATCAGGACGAATCTTCGTCTGCAGTACCAGAACGATCCCGAGCACGACGTCACCAAGGAGTAAGTTTCCCTTCGCCATTGTCGCGACGACGACAACTGTCGAACGAGTGTCGAACCGCGCTTGGACGCGTCTGCCGCTGACAGACCGAGTCGCGCCAATTCCACGAGCTATCGCTCGCCGCCAACAACTATTTGCGAATCTCGAGCAACTGCAATAAATGTAATTGAATCGCGCGCGCACAGTGCCTCTCCGAGGGTGCACCCGCGAGCGCGCGCGTCCGCTTTGGTTGTGAAAAGCGTCGGCCTATCTAAATAGAATCCAACAACGGTAGCCCAGCAGCTCGCAGTCAAACAATTGGCCGAGCCATTCAATGCGATCGAAAAAAAAAAAAAGAAAGAAAGGAAGAAAGAAGAAAAAAAACGAACTGCGAGTGCGAGTCGAAACAAAAATGTACGATACGTCGGAGCGCGCGCGTCCTTATTTGTTCACTGGCGCAGCTGCAATCCACGCTGCCCACACGTCACGCCAGTCCCGCCTAGCTCTCTCGCCCGCTACTTTCAATCCGACTGCCCATTCGACTTTCTTTGATTCACCCTTCTCTGCCCCACCGGGACTCTCCGGTCTTTCCAAATTTACTCGCGTTCGCGCTATCGCCGGATTGCAACTTTTTCGACGTGCTCGTCGCTGCTTTTGCGTTGCTCATGGACCATTCATCTGAGAAGGGTATCGTGTCTAAGGCTCCGTTGGAAACGATGATCGTCACGAGAGAACGCTGCACTCCCGCATAATTAACTCCTTGATAATACTTTGCCCTCGATACGCTTGAATTTCATTTTGAACTCGGATAGCGCGGCTCGATCAGGCGTCAGCAAATTGCCGACTGGAACCCGCCGCTCCTAGTTTGCAGTGTCATTAACAATTGCGATTGGCAGTATTACCGTAACGAGGATTGATTAATGTCGACATTTAATGGAAAACGCTCGTCTTCATTCGGGCGACGCGGCAAATTGATCGTGCAACTGGATTGCCGACGCGGAGATCTCCGTCTATGTCGACGAGCAGTCGCCGAGCAATTTCAAGTAGAAGCGAGGCGAGTGTGGTCAGACACGAACGGCGCGGCGCGCGCGGCGAATCGTCTGGGAAATGGCCCGCTGCATCGGACAAGCCTGCGAGAATGATGAACGCGGGAGCGTATAGCGCGCGTACCGAGTTTCTTGCCGCCGGTTATTATAATAATAATTGTGGGACGAGTCTTCGGGGCGCGGGGAGGGGGACGGCGATTGTCGACAAATTAATGCGGCGCGTCACGTGATTATGTCCTTGCGGGAGCTCAGCCGCTTAATGAGAGCGAGGGCGCGCGGATCCTCGGCTCGTCGCGCAGTCGTCGTCGGATTTGCACTCTTGGCAACTCGGCCGAATAATTAATTTCCATAAGACAGCGCCGAAGCAGGCTAGAGGCGCGCTATGCCGCCTGCCTGCTGCCTACGCCATTCTCCGCGCGCCGTAGCCCCGACAATTTAGAGTAGTGCGGCCCGGCTCTCGTAAAATCAAGCCGATTCGCGGCCGACGTCCGAGTTTAATTTAAACGCGAGTGCTTTACGCTCGCCGGCGCGGCGTTGCGAGCGAGCGAGCGAGCGAGCGAGGGACCCGGGGGAGGGCTTTACGAGGTAGCGCAATTTTCAGCAATTTTGAGTTTATAGCGCCAAATGAGGCGGCGCCACTCGGGCCCCGATAGCTCGTCTCCCGCGCGCTGCCTATTTTCGTTCTTTCTTCGTCCCTTTTCCCTTCTCCTTTCTTGCTTTCGGCGTTTCGCTCTTGGCCGGCACGCGTCGTCGAACGAAGCTTCGCAACTTGGCGCTGGGCTAATCCTCCCGCCGGCAGCTTGTCTCGCGCGGCGTGATCGAGAATCACCGCCGAGGACCGAAGGCCCATCGGCTCGAGCCGAGCAGCTTTATCGATTGCATCGAACTTTCGGCGCAAGCGCAAGCGCCCACGCATAATTCGATTTGCATGGCCGACCTTGCGCCCAGCCAGCCGCCTTGCCGAGACGATTAATCCACTGTTCGCGCTCCGGCCAACTTCCGACTGGCTGTGCGAATTAGAATACATGCCCCGTTAGAATACTCCCCGTCTCGGCCGTTACGACTGCTCGCTGCAGCCGCACATTGCGCGATAGTCGTCCGGCGGGCTAATTTCGAGTGGCACTCGCAAGGCGACGCGCGCAAGCGAAAGAAGACCACTTGCAGCGGCGGGCGCTCGATTACTCTTCTGGTATCGGCAAGGCCGTCGAACTCGCTCGTCGAGGGCTCGAGAGCGATTTCCTCGGAGCTTTGTGTACGGGGGTTTCGCAGCGCACACAAATCACGCGTCTTTTCGACTCCCGTTTCTCTTTGCCGCGACTCGGCCTCGCTTTGATTGAGTTCGGCGCCTTGCCGGCTATCGATTGCCATTGTTTCGCCCGACAACAAAGCGGCCTCTGGTAGGACACGCTTCCTCTAAACGCCCAGCGAACGGAGCGCGTCTGACTGCGACTCTTAAATTCGGCTCTTCGGCCATTGTGCCACGCCGAGCCGACGTCGATAAGCAGGCCCTTTTATTCCAGCGGAGTATTCTTCCGAAAGTGTCTGCGCGCGGAATCCCGTCGAGGCCATAAACCGTTCGCTTCGGCTGATGCATTCGGGCAAGCAAGTAAAATATGCAAATTTCATTCCGATAGACCCGCCCATATCAAAGAGAATCGCGCTGCAGTTGCATCTATTTTCATTTAGTCTGCAGAGGCGAGGCAGAGCGCGATTCGCGAGTAGTCGCGCGCGCGATAAAAAGCCACTCGCGCGCTCGGATTCGCGCGTTCGATCGAGCTCGGGAGGCAGTGTCGGCCGGCCGATAGATTCTTCGCGGATTCTGCAAGCTCGGCAAGCTTCCTTATCCAAACATCCTTCCAAATGAAAGCTTCCAACGGGCGCGCGAGTACTTTCCAGGGCAAGAGCTCTCCGGGGACCGGGCGACCAAGACGCGCCTTCCCGGTCTCGCGAGTGCCCGCGATCTCGTACACTTTTTGCGCTGTTTGAGAGAGAGAGAGAGAGAGAGAGAGATTCAGGGCTATGATTAAGGGCCGCTACGCGACATGACCAGCTCCCGGAAGTGCCCTTGCCTTCGGAACTCCTTTTATCGCTCGCTCGCTCGCTCTGTGCTTTCTCCTCCACCGCGCTATCTTTCAAACGCCCAATGAACAGTTCCACGGCTAGATTAGCTTTTGCTTTGGCAGAAATTTCAAAGGGTTCGTGTGAATGCCAAAATACCCGTCCGTTCTCTCTTTGAATTCTCTCATATTTTTATTCGCTTTATCCTTTTTGGTACTTGAAATATTGTAGATTTTCAATTCTGGATATTGGCGTCCATTAGATTGATTAAACAATCATGCTATTCGTTCGTTTATTTGTTTAACAAATATGACTGATGCAACGATAGCGCTCTCGTTACGATGTGGCGCGTATGAATATTTGGCCAATTTCCGGGAGCATTATTTTTTTTCTACAAGCACCGCGGGCTTTGTTTGACCCGAGCTAGAGGGCAAGAAGGCGCGCGAGAGCCGGATATCGAAATGTCAAGTAGGTGTATATCGTAAACACTAACAGGACTGCTGGCGAATGGCCTGAGAGCCGTAGTTGCGAGAGGCAAACTTGGGCGCGCGCGCGCCTCGCAAGCATAACACTCAGCCGGAGAGAGAGAGAGAGGACGAGACGGCGGTCGGCGCTCGTAGTAAACTAGTACTAGGGCGTTAGGCCGGTATGCGCAGCGTGTATTCTCGGCGCACGCTTGGCATACAGTCGGCGCTGCTCGCGCAAGCATCCTCCGTAGACAGCAGCCAGCCATGCCGCGCATTCCGTCCGTGGGGAATCGAGCATTTTCGGAGATCAACAGTCCGTCTCGCGTGCCCCCCCCCCCCAGTCGATACACCTGGGCATTGGTATTTTTAGCGTGCCTATTATTAATCGCGAGCCGCGCTGCCCCTTGAGCGCTTTGTGCGGCGGCGGCGACGACGACAGGACACTTGTCTATCTATAACTCGGTGGCGTTGCACCCTCTGCAAAAACAATGGGCGAAAGCCTGACTCGCAGGCTGCTATTGGCAATCGATAAGCGCGCTCTACATTTCAAGCGACGGCCCTCGCGGAACGACCTCCGCGGCTCGTGACCAACGCGCACCCAACAACCTGTACGACCGGCGGCTCCGAGTGCAACCCGAACGCGTGCCACGCGCACGACTTTAGCTTTTCAAATGTCCGACGCCGTGCCCCGTTACTCTCCGACTGGAAACGTTAGACTTTCGATCGATCACCGCGAGCCGGATAGTGGCGAACTGCGCGAAGCGTCCAGAGAGGCCAACAGCGCAAATATTCATGCGACCTGGCGCGCGGTTTTTGACTTATCTTCCGCGCTGTGAATAATAATTTTCCCGGCTCGGCGCATCGCGATTTTTCGCCGCGAGCCTCGCGGCTCTAGCGGTTTCACTTTCGTCCTGTTTGTCTTTCCCCGCTGTTCTTTGCGCTCTTTTTGTCGACGCGCTCGCCTCGCGCAGTTTTAATCGAGACTACCAGGACCGATTCCGGTGTGCGACCCGTTAATACAATCGAAAAGCTCTGTGTTTTGATTTTCCGCGAGTCGCATTGGGATTTCGTTGACTTCGTAAGATTTTTAGTTTTCGCGCACCGCCGGATCTACGAATGGAAATGTCAACCGCGAGAATTTTACGTAAGCCGCTGCAAATGTCTAGTTTCCCGAGCAATCCAATTTTCGTCCGATCGGACAGAGCGTCAACTTCGTAGATTTGCGGGTGGCCTCGCGCAGAGAATAAACTCGAGGACTGATCAAAGCTCCTCGCGTATGACGCAGTATGGAGGAGTTTCTAATCGAGCAATCGATCCAGCAAGTGGGTCCATCGGTGAAAATTCTCGGCGAAAGCGGCAATCTCCTCGCGGTGTGGTAGGTTCGAGAGGGCATTTTGAGGGCATTTTCTTTCATCTTCCGGGGCTTCTTGGCATTCGCGAAGAGGTCAACAACAAAAACGAAGAGCGTGAGTGGATTTTATGGGATACCGGATATCGCATTTATACCATAGCTGGTGTGACAGCGGCTGTACGCTACAGCGCTATGTACGCTGTAGTTCAGTCGTCGGGCGGCGTTCCGTAGCTCCCGGGATTACGCATCGCGCGAGACGTCGAGGAGCGTCACTCGTACGTCTTCCCGCTTACATATTTCACGTCCCCGAACGCGTCCATCCGTCCGTCCGTCCGACAAGCCGGAGCTGCTTCTGCTGCCGCGACGGACCCTCGTGCTTTATGTGCTTTCTCGCATTCCGCCCTACGCGAGCGCAGCACGCGAACAGCTCTCATTGTAGATGCACTCCCGAGGAATTCTCGAGTTTCACTTGTTGATCCTGCCAAGAGCGCGCGCGACTGGGAATTCGCTCGAAATTGCTGACCAGCGGAATCAATCAGCAGCGCTCGCTGGATTCGACCAGGGCTCGATCGTGGGAGCGCGCAGCACCCGAGAAAATGACGAATCGAGCGCGGACAATGACAGAGCTTCGGAGGTAAAGTTGGATTCGTAAAATAAAACCAAGTGGCGAGGACGGTATAGCGCGAGAAGTGGCAATATCGTCGATCGGAGAATCGCGCGCCGTATAGCGTCTCGCACACCAGCGCGCACTCGAGGGGAGGCGAGGCACCGGACGGCCGCGGCAATCTCGGGAGGAGCAGACCGGAGAGAAAATGAGCGAGCGTCGATCTTTGGGGTGCCGTTCATTTTTGAAGAGCTAGCTCTGCCATTTGTGCGCCGATTCGTGCAATTGAAATGGTCGTCCGAGCGAGTTCGGACAAACTTTGCCGCGAGGGAATACAAGAGCCGCCGAGTTCTCCTCCTCTCATCTCGGCGAGTTACTTACTTGCTCTCCCGATTGGCCTCTTTTCCTTCTGCCCCTTTCGAGAACCCTACCTACTCTTCCCCGCCGAGCCCCCGCCGAGCGACTCCCCGGCACTTCTTTACGCGCGGGAGAGCGAGCGAGCCAACTCGCCCTGGACGCACGAGTCCAGCGCGCCGCAATCCACTTTGTCGATTAGAAAGCTTGTTGCCAATTCCATTGCCAGCGAGAATGCACTACTCTTGTACCAGAAATCACCGATGCCCTCGCGTCACATTCATTACCAAGATTGCAGCGCGCGGCTCTCTGCCGCTCTTTTTCCTTTTTTCTTTTTTTTTTTTTTTGTTTTGTTTTTCACGCCACTAACGAAAATCACTCTCGCCGCGGAGAGCATCGTAAGCGCCCGATGATTAATCAAGGAAAGCGAGTGGACGCGCCTCGCGGAAGAAAAGCACGAGCTGCAGAGGGACGATCGATTAGTAATGACGAAAAGTTCTGCGGGTTAGCGTATTAGCAGCGGATTAAGGCAGCAAAGGCCCCGACAAATTATTCAGACGAGCGAGGGCGAAGGCGCGCGCGCGCTCCCCAGCTAATAGCTAGTGCCTTGCCGAAAGTTGGCCCGAGCGCTGGGTGCATTGTGCGAACGAGCGACGTCACCCGAGAAGCAAACTTGGCCGAATGCTGGGCGGGTTTACGCGCCCGACCGTTTAGCCTGTTTCGCGAGCGAGAAATCTCCTCGCTAATAAAGAACCCGCTGAAAGAACTCGCGCCGCGTCGCTAATTGAATGCCTGCGGGCCGACCGGATTACGCGCTCCAACATTTATCGCGAGGGGCGCCCGCGAGGCAGCGACCAACTGCTCTTTCTTTTTATGGCTTCGGGCTTCTCGTCCGCGCGATCGCTTCAACCGAAACGGCTCGATCTCGTTTCGAGATAATTGCTCGCAAAGCCGCGTCTCCGAGCCAACTGTTGCGTCATTTAGCGCCGCTCGCCTTCTCTCAAGCATCTCCGCGATTTGTTGCAGGTACTGCGTGACGTTCACGATAACGAAGGCGACCAAGGCCTGCTACAAGGAGCCCAGCCTGTCGAAGCTCTCGGAAGGTGAGTGAGAGAGATAGAGACGTGGATATATACTTTTTACTTCGCTGCGAGCGCGCATTGTCGCACCCTGCCGGTCGAGCGGACGAGTTTCCTTCCTGACCCCCCCCCCCCCCCCCCCCCCAAATCCCTTTCCAGCTTCCCCTTCCGCTCGATTATCCTCGCGATGCTCGCCCGCAGATAGACCGACTGGATGGAAAATTTCGCTCGGCTCGGCGATTCCTCCGAGTGATTTCGCTAACGCGATTATGCGATCTTCGATCGGCGTCCCCCCGATTGCCGCTCGCAAATACGACCAGCGGAAAGAAGTTGCAAGCTTGCGGACCGCTGATACCGCGAATCACAGCCAGATCCACGGCCAAATTGCAATCGTGCTCTCGTGGCTCGCGCTTTGTCCGGCTAAATTGGCAGAAAATCCATGCTAGACGACATCGCCGCTAAATAAATTGCGTCCGCGCGCTCGCTGGGCGACATTTTAATTGGAATATAGGCGCGAGCCAAAGAGTCTTGCCCAGCCGGCTCCCGATCGAATGGATTTCTGCAATTTTTAATTAGCTCCCTGAGCTTTGCACTCGAAACCGAACGGTCGATAGGAGGAACGGGACGACGTTAATTGGCCCTAAAAAACGCGATGTCAAGCAGGTACAAATGAACCGAGGGCGCGTTCATAAAGAGGCGTCAAGTTTAATTAAAGCAGCGGCAATAATCGGCCATTCGCTTTCACGGAACACTCGGAATATCGAGTAACGCGGTTCCCTCGGAGCGGGCCGAACAACGACAAGTGCGCCGAGTGCAGCGGGCAACGTTGTGTTGCAGGGGCACGAGTGTGCGTGCACTGCCAGACGCAGGCGTTGCGCCGAGCGCTGGACTGGCGATGCGAGGGCGACGGCGGCATGGACGCGATGATCACGAGGTGGAGCATGCTCAGCTCGGCTCACTGCCACGGCAAGTGGATGCGCACCAAGAAGACCGGTGCCGAGTGCGACGCGGCTCTCTGCCAGCCCCAGGCGCACTTCATATTCGTCTAGATCGAGGTCGCCGTTGTAGTCGCGGCAAGCCGGCCCACACGCTCGTCCTGCGGAGAGCAGGCCTTTAATCCCTCCGGTCTTCGCTTTCGATGTTGCTGGATCACGACAATACTCACGGCAACATTCGACTCGAACGATCGCCAAAGTCTCTGCGCGAGAACCCGCGAGGCTGGATACAGGGAACGAGCAGCCTGGCAGTCATCTCTATTTGTTTCTGTATCGATGTGTTATTGTTAAGTAAAAAAGCTTTGTCTCTCCGTCTTACTTCATTCATTAACATTCTAACGAAAATCTTTCCCTGCGTGGGCTATTATACGACGAAGATGGAATCGCTCGGTAGCCTTGTTCAATGTTTTCAAGTGGTCCAAACTTCGCGGGGCCCATGACGATTACTGCCCATTAATATGAATAGGTATTGGATCGCTTATCAGTTTATTCTCACGTCATGCTTTTTTTTATATTATATTTTTATAAACACTGTTAATAAAACTCGAAACATCAATTAGGCAAAGAAATACTTGCTTGTGTAGTAAACGATGAAAAACAAATGAAACATAGCGCTATTCAAATGTTAGAAGATTGACTTTATGCGTACCTAGCTCTAATTTTGCAGTAAACAAGTTGAAAACAATGACGTTTGTAAAAATATAAAATAAAGAATGAATCAAGAGCGAAAGAGAGTATGTCAGCAAGTGAGACAATTGATTATGGTATGTTCCAACGAGGAACTGTACCGATGAAAAATCCCCAAATCAAATCAATTGATTTTTGGCGTGTATGGCGATCACCTGAAAAGCGAAAAAAAGTTCGTTTGTACGTAAGTTATTTTATAAATTGATTCCACATATCAAAGATCGTATTTTATAGAAGATAAGTAATAAAGGATTCAAGTATTCGCAAGCTTTGTTTATTATATCTCCATGAACGATAACGTAAAATAACGAGCATCGATGCCGATTTCCAAAGGCCAGCAACAGCATCGTCGGTCGATCAGCCGGAGCAACGACGTCAGAGCAATAAAGCTCTCGGCGAAACAACAGCCATTACCAAACGAGACACGTCTTATTCCGCGTACTTGACGCGTCAGTCGAGGAAAAGCGAGAGGTAGCAGACCAACCACAACTTTGTTATCGACCAATATAATTCAGCTGTCCGATCGATCAGCTAGTGCCTGCGAGGAGCAGTAATTCCCCGAGTTAGCCCCGAGGAGCTCTGGATAAATAACAGAGCAGACGTGCCTGCGCCGTTGTGGATTATGAGGTAATCTCACGTGAGATTTCCTCGGCATTTCCAACCAAATACACGCCCATACGCTTTTTACGTATACTCGCTGCTCCCTGTACACATTGGATCTGGAGCACGGATTGATTGCATTTTCACGTACTGATTGCAACATCTCACGCGTCGATTTGGCAAGTTGCGCACCGGCAAATGCCTAATTACAGGCTCGTTTGCGCTTTGCCTCAATTTTATATTTCACTCCCGAGAGTATCAATTTCACCGTTGTAATTGCGCGTCAGAGCTGCATATGCGCGCGCTCTGTTTTAACACCTGTTCGCCAGCCGCAATTGCGCTATTATAAATATGCCGCATCCTTTCATTCTTACGTGCGTTATCGGCCGGTTCTTTCCCATTGTCGCCGCGTATACGTGCTAATTGACGCAATTTCGCGAGCCGGCGAAAATAAAAGCAGCTAGCCGTATTAAGCTTCAACAACGCGTAAAGCGCACACACGGGGACGGCGACGAGCGCGGGATTTGCTCTCGTTTTAATCTCATTACACTTGCCGCGCCGTTAAATGACGGACGCCCGCTGAAAAGCTCGACGAGCTTTTATAATTACTTTTCGATCAATGATGATGCGCGCACGCCGCGTCCGTATTTTCACGGCGCGGCAATTGTTTGCGAGTGAGTTCGATTGGAACTCGCAACTTTTCCGAGAGACAGAGGGCCAAAGCCAGTGTGCTTTTCAATCGAATCAATGGTTGACAGCTGTGCTCGAGGTACACTCCACGGGCTTGTCATAGATCCTTCCAGTTTCCATTGGTTTTTTTTCCAGTAATTTGAATTATCGAGAAAGCGGAGAACCCGTTTGCACACATACACACACGAGTGTCCACGGCTCCTTTGTTCCCGAAATCATCCGAAGCCTCGTTATCACCAAATGGACATTCGAATTGACGTCATGGAGCATTTTACAGAGCAGGACACTGCGACGAACTTCCTGGGCGAGCGAGCGAATAAAGCATACTTCCGAAATTGGCGAAAGGACGTTGCAGTTTATACGCGCCGCGACTCAAGGCATAACTACCATAGAGCACATAAAAACCATTTGAGGCTTCACGCACTCACACTAAACTCGCTCGTAACTCTCCGTTTAAAGGTGCGTAACCCAATGGAAATGCCCCGATGCTTCTCCCGCAGCCCATAATGGAGTAATTACTTTGTCTTAACGCTCCCGAGCCCGAATTAGTTCGCGCTCTCCCTCTCTCCCACATAAACACGTAACCTCGCCTTTTCTTTCACCAGACTCAGGCTAATTGGCCGCACTCCGACTCGTTATTTCCGTAGCTGTATTCACCTTTTATTTTTCCTTCAAATTCCAGCCTTCGTTTGCTCTTTTCTTTCCGCTCTCGTTAGCAGTGATTTCGATTCAGTCGAGAAGGCACGAATTAAAAGGGAAAAAGGCTGCTAGTCAGCGATCGATCGGAAGTGAGTCGCGTTAACGCGAGTTACTCGATCGTCGAGTTAATTCTGTTTCGTACTTTTGACAGGATGCCCGAACCACCCAAAGAGCGAGCATCAAGGAAAAGTTTTCGTTCGAGTTTCGGAAAATGCTGTTAGACCACTAACTTGCGCCTTTCGCTTGCCGCTATTGTCCGTCCGACTTTTCTTTAGTATCTCTCGCCTCCCCTCGCCCTACTCTGCGGTTTATGAGATTTCAAAGCAGATCTCAAATCAATTATAAACGGAGACAGCGCCATTCCGTCGGCCGATCCTCTGGCACTGGCGAGCCGCTGTGGCATTATCGAAAAATTCCTCGGAACTTGCCAGAGCAGGAGAGAGAAAGAGAGAGAGAGAGAGAGAGAGAGAGAGAGAGAGAGAGACGCGATGGAAGTTTCATCCTTCGCCTCACCGAAGCTTGATAAATAGCTAACAGTATTTGAAGTGCCGCGAAGAAAGCTGCGGTGCCAGACGAAATCGCCCCAGTCTCTCTCTCGCACAGTATCTCGCGGCGCTTCTCGTTCAAATCAACCGCGAAAAGCGTCGGGGAAGGGAATATGAAAAAACCGACCGAGTGATGGATTTTTTAAAAACAGCGCGACACCGAGAGGAAGAAAAAGAAGAAGAAAGAAATCAGAGAGAAGAGCACGAGTCCAGAAGACGCGGCTTTCTCGAGGCTGTTGACAGAGCCACAGCGGAATAATTCTCTTCCTCCACTTCTCGTTCCCGCTTTCCTCGAAAGTTTCTTTCTTTGCGAGCTCCTTCCTGCCTCCGACTCCGCGTCCTTGCTCGCTAACGGTCATATCGTCTCGACGAGTTTTCTCCAGCGTCACATTGGATTGAGAAAGAATGGCGCAGACGACTCGAGGGCCATTCGCAAACTTGGCCAGCCTCGTTCGCTTTTCGCCGCTATCTCCTCGCCTGGCCCACCCTTTACCCCCCCCCCCCCCCCCCCACCCTTTTACATGGAGTTTAGTCTTCGAACACGCTCATTTCGTACGATATCTCTCGAGCGAGTTCGACAATCTATTCAACCGTACGCCGATAACTCGTCACGTTGACGTTGTAGCTTTCAGTTTTTAAACAATTTTCTAATTTTTTACGTAGAAGACATTTTTGAGTGAAACACGGCGCGTTCTGTCTTGAAGCGTTGTAGGCCGAGTGCAAAAAAATTGTATAATCAGCGAGTAAAACTCACTTAAATATACCACAGCTGTTAATAATTTCAAATATCCAAATAAATAAAAAATATTTATCAAGCCATGTTCCTGCATTGAGCCTGACCAAAGCGTTGACTTATACTACTACGACCGGCTATATACAGTACTCTAGATTCTCTTCGGGGCGACCATTGATTATTAGCAGACGAGAATAGTGTCGAAATTAATTATTCTCGGCGAGTGCCATCTTCCTAATAATTTCTGTAATGCACTTTGCGCGACGAAAGCCACTTACGACAGAGGGAGAGAGAAAGAGAGAGAGAGAGAGGGAGGGGAAAAGAAAATCGCTGTTGGCTGATCTCCTGCAGCGCTAACTCGCGAGATAAATTCAGTCGGGTACGCATGCCCGAGCCAAACAAAAGCTGGCGCGAGAACAAAGTTTGGTGCTGCTCCGCGGCGTATCTCCCTCGACCGCGAGAGAATAACTTAAGCCAGGCGCGCGACAAGGGAGGAGGCGCGCGCCGCGCAAAACTCGATCTACCCCCATCCTCTGCCCTTATCCCTCTTCCCCGTGCCTTATCATTTATCGCGCATCCAGATACACCTACGCGACGCTCTCTCTGCAATTTTTTTCTCATGGGCTCCCCAGTTGCACATCTCAGGCGCGGGCGACGGCGTGCAAGGCAATTAGCACGAGAGACATCGACACCGCCGTCCCCTCGCCCATTTCTCTTTTCCGGGCCTATTTCGATTCGGAGATCGCGGACGAGGAATTCGAAAGGAAGCGCCACGGGGCTGCGCTTGACTTTGCCGAGAAATCTAAGCGAGCAGCAAGACTTCTGTACACAGAGAGAAAGCGCCAGCCGTTGCGGCATTTCGGCAGCGAATCGGTCTCTAATGAAGAATTCGTTTGACGAACCTGACAATGACTTGCGCGACAATGAGATTGCGAGGCTTGCCCTGTCAACGAGACTCCGCGACGAGTAGTTTGTCAGCGAGACAAAGGACAAATTAGCGGACACGGAACTCATTTCGAGAGGTACAGAGAGAAAGAGAGAAAAAGAGAGAGAGAGAGAGAGCTCTGGAGAAGCCACAGTCGGCAACCGAACGAGTCAATAGAAATTACCGACCATTTCGCTCGGTTTGCCCGAGTTGTAACGGCGACTCACTGGAAAGCAAGCCGGTCTGGCGTGCGCGCCTCATTTTATTCCGAGCGAGAATTAATCATGTTGCGGTGCCCGACAGCGAGCGCGTAAACTTAGTCTCGAACACGCGCACGGCCATTATCTGGAGAGCGGATCGTAAACGCGCGAGTGGCGCGAAACGAAAAATGAGAAACTCTCGAGAGGGTGCGAGCGGGCGCGGGGAGCAAAAAATACGAGCGCACAATAAAACACGGCGCGCCGAGAGAGCACTGGTCTTCTCTATACGAGAAAGCGTCGCGCAGCTCTTTTCTTTTTGTTCTTACTCGCATTAGGGCAGACGAAGGCGCCGCTTAGAGAAGCCCAGGGGAAGAAATAATTTATACACTTAGTTGCTCGTCCGTGTGGTAAGGATCGCGTGATGAAGGTCCATCGATTCTCGAGATTTTCCTCCAGCACGCATTTCCCGCCCCCTCCCCTCTTTTTTCACCCTCGGGCGGCAAAAAGTAAGCGGCCCGTGTTTCTTCGATTAGGACCATTCCGCGAGTTACGCTTCGAAAAAGGAAAAAAGCCACGGAAAGCAAAAAAAGAGTAACCGTGCGCTGGCTAAGAAAATGATTTTCCTTACCGTGAAGGGAGTTTCGTGCCGCCGCGAGAATATCGAGTTTCTTTCTGGTTTACCGCTCCCCGGGCTCTGTTCGAGCTCATCTGTGGGGCGTTGCTTTTTCATTTCTAGCCTGGTCTTCTCTTCTTTTTCGATTTTTGCTTTTCTCCTTTTTTTCTATTTTTGATACGAGTCGCGTGACGGTTCGCACTTTAGTCCGAATGAATCATGAATATCGTTATAAGAATGAAATACGATTTGTAAGTTGATGGAGAGACTCTCCGCACAACGCGGAGATGTGAAAAAGA